TTGCTCTTTTCAGGGCCGAGTCTGACTCCCCCGAAATGGGAGCCGCTTGGTGGGCTCTTGAAAACATTTGGAAAACGGTCAGGGCACGTTTTCTCGAAGCTGCCGAACTTTAACCGTGACAGAAAATTAACCGGTTTCCCCGTGAGAAGAAAGTTTAGGTCACGTGACCGGCGGACTGCCTTACGTCACTTAAATCGCGAAGTATGAGGAATTATCTCGCCCAGTTTTTAGGTCGTCTTTCGATTCTTTCCTAAGCCTAAAGTAACGCGGTAATGGTCCACATGGCAACGTCTTTGGAATCCTAGTGGATTGTCTTGACTTAATCGGCCTGGCATTGATCGCACGCAGAAGCAGACCGTGTACCAATTTACAGTGGAGCGGAAATACGTTATATAAATGTTATAAAGAAAGTTACATGTAAAGTTCTTACATGCTGGCCTACCTTGCTGCCCGTGCGCCGCCCGCCTCTAACTGTTCACTTCTTCCTTATCGTCTCTAGCACTGACCCTTGTCGCCCTCTTTCGCGCCGGAAAAGAAATTTCAACGTCTTCAGACAGCCAGACATTGAACAACTTGCCAAACACGGGTTGATTTGTTCTTGCCTTACCCATCATTTGTACCACGAACAATGAAAAAGTGTTCTTAAGCTCAAATGTACGTCGCGCTGCGTACCGAAAACCTGACAGCGCGCGTAAGCGGGTACCCCCTTTTTCAAAAAGTCGTCCACGAAAGGAACTTACATCCCCTACACTCTAAAAAAAAAGAAAGGGGTATCAGCTTACACCCCTTTGTCCCATATAATACACCCCAAAACTTCATTTCGACGTGCAGCGCCCTATAGTCGAATACACGGACACCAAAATTTACGAGGGTCTTGATAGCCGTGTGGTACAATGTATTTAAATAACTAAAGTACGTATCAAAGATCGCATAAAGAAAACACTGAGTTTCTGCAGTAGGGCCTAGAAAACCCCGATTATTTTTTTTTTCTGGTCAGTAACAACTACATTAGCACTTTTAATAAGTTGTACCACACGGCTATCAAGCCCCTCGTAAACTTTGGGGCCCTCTGTTGGACTGTAGGGCGCTGTACGTCGAATTGAAGTTTTGGGGTGTATTATATGGGACAAAGGGTGTAACAATGCACCCTTTTACACCTTTTTTTTTTAGAGTGTATAACCAGTAGTTGACGCGAGCTACCACCCCATAATAAAACATGAAGCTATATATCACCCGTCCAGCCCTAGTCAATATTGACTAGGTACTTGCACGTACGTAGTAGGGATGGACAGCTAACTCTTTGCCGCGGTTAAGGTACGCCGGCTTCGAGCAAACGGCGCTGCAGCTGCTGAAAGTTTGAAAGATATACCGCTGCTCAATTTGCCCCTTATTGACGTCGTGATCGACAGAGAGCGTCGTTTCGGTCGCCTTGCCACGAGTGGCGAAACGCTCTCTATGACATCATTAGTAGGATGTATTCTGATTTCTTTAATGGAAATAAGAAGAATTTCATACCATCAAGCGTGACAGTCTTGGTTTAGGAAGGCCTACCACGAGTGGCCAAACGCTCTCTACGACGTCATTAGTAGGATGTATTCTGATTTCCTTAATGGAAATAAGAATTTCATACTATCAAGCTTGACGGTCTTGTTTTAGGAAGGGGTGGCTACAAGCTTTCACCGTGCTTTTTACACACCATCAAAATTGCCGCTGGCGATCGACAATCTACGTCACAGATAGGGGCCACAAGAGGGAGCCACCGAAACATCTCGTCGCCAAACCGACTGCACAGCCTGATAGTGCCGACGTGACTGTGCCAACGTTTGAAAAGAATCCCGGATAATGTGAGATTTATATCGTCTACTAGCGCACGAAAGGAAACGGCGCGCGCAGCTTTTAACCGTTTTGGAACGGGTCGTGTAATTCGAGGAGAGGTGGATTGCTTTCTCGAGAGATCGAGCGCGACTGCACTCTACCAAAAAACGCTTACGTTTTGCTGGAGTGCAGACTTGATTAAAATATAAATTTTATTTGAAAAAAAAAAAAAACTGCCTTCGGACAGCGAGTTTTGAAATTGGTGGATTGCTTGGAGCCTAACTTGGCTCCAACACATTTGTTTGTTTTTGTTGTTGTTTTGAGCGGAGTGACAGACAGCCCAATATGATTTCTCTGAAAGTATCCACTGGCTTTATACACTCTAAGAAACCTGCTGCGTCTAATTTATCGCAGAGATTTTAGAAAAAAACAATCGCTATAAAAAAATTAAAAAAAAAGACTCGGCGAACTCTGAGGCTAGGAATATTCTGAAACCTAAAAATGAAAACAAAATATAGTACCCACAGTGACACTCAAAAATACGTTTCACGATGACGTCATCCTCAGTGTCACAACGCCGACTGTTATTTTTAAGTCTGAAAAGTTTAATTTTAGCAAGGATTTGAGGCGGAGAGATACCGGATGCTAGTAGACATGTAGTTAACGAGTTACAAGTAACTAATTTCTTGTATTCAATGACATTTTGTTGTAAATTTTTAACGCTTGCATTTTTTTTCTGCGTTCATGCTTTCTGTATTTGAATTACTATTTTTCTCTCATCAATTATAAGTAATCAATTACATGTTTCCAAAAAAGCTAAAATTATCGAGATGAGTTTGTTTTACAGTCGCTCTGTCTGTACGTGCCTCACTCGTCTATCTCGCACCTAGGTTAGACTTTTCTTTTCTTTTTGCACGTAAATAAGTAAAACAAATTACAAGATTCCAGGAGGATTATAATGCCAAACGCGCTCAGCGATGTTTTCACTGACGAGCTGTAGGGAGGTCCTCGTTTCCTGTGTACCGCGCTGTTACGACCCGGGTTTGCCACGGCATAGACGAATGTGTTTTGCACTGACCTTATGTAAACCTCATCTAGCCACGACAACCCCCCCCCCCCCCCCTTCCCCTCCCCTTTTATCTCGAAAGAGCTCACCAGCGCGTGCATGTATAAAACGTATCAGGAACAGAAGGTTATCTTATCTGCGATCTTATTTTTCTTCAAAAAAAAAGTTAAAAGCACCATAAAAGGTATTCAAATATTTTCTGGTAATTTTATTTTAATTGCTCTTTGATGCAATAATTGATCTGTAATCAGTTATTTTTATAATGAAGTAGTTGTAATTGCAATCGATTACTTTTTCAGTAAAAAACTAAACGCTAGGGACGCGACATGCCTAGCGTTTTTTAGATTGTCAATGGCCATATAAGTACAACAAAGCTCAAGGTACAAAAAGAAGCACATGTTAATTTTTTAGGAAACGCCCAAGGGCAAATATGCAAGAAAACGAGAAGTCCCAGCCCCCAAGTAACAAAAACTCAGCCTTTGTTCGCTGCGCATTGTATGAAAAGTGAAAATGACATTCTGACTCTCTGGTCAAGCGTTACGGCAATGGGGAAGTAGTTTCAAGGGGGTACAATCCACTTAGAGCTTTCAATTGTTCTACAAACAATGTGTACCTTGCTCAGGGTCACACGAGGGAGAAATCCCGGGGATTTCTCCCCTGCACGCGCGCATCACGAGATGAAAACGCGAGGCTTTTGCACATCGCAAAGCCTGACGTTTTCGTCGTGGGATGCGCGTGCCGGGGAGAAATCCCCGGGATTTCTCCCTCGTGTGAATACCCCTTTAAAGGCGGTGTGTGCGCGCGTCTCTGTGCGTGCGCGCGAGTGTATGTGCGTGCTTCTGTCGTTTTAGCGCGTGTTCTTTATCCTCCCCTTTGTGTATTCATGTGATTCGACCAGCAGGACTGGCTCGAAGCTCGTTTTCAATCGTGTCCTTCCAGTGGAAGTGGCAACAGCGTTAGCTTATCGCCTTGTCTAGGGTGCGTCCGCGCTTATACAAAGTGCATATGTGTTTTACAATGGATTGGTAACCACCACGCGACGATATTCGTCGGTTTTGGTGATTGATAAGATCTAGATGTCAAGTATTTTTCAGTCCAGAACTATATGCCGCTCCTCATTTTATCAGATTAGTATTCTCTCGTTGGTGGATTGAGTATGGGAGTGATATGATCGCGGCTGTTTTCAATGGACCTTTTCCACATACCGACGGCACCAGGCGGTGGCTGCACGAACTAAAAATCGAGGATGTGACCTACCTGCGCTACCAATCGATATAGGGAGCTAGGCTACCAGTTTCTTCGCTCTCCGAGCAGCGGCGCCTGCCCAACGCGACTTTAAAGAGGGGCATCCGTAGCGTCCAGCCAAACGTCGTGTTTTCCTTTCCGTCGACGTTCTTTTTTTGTGTAACACAATTATATATATGCTGCAGTTACGTGTTCTACTCGCTGATATATAGCCTCCTTCCGAATTTCCTCGATTTTTCGTTCCGACTTCCGCCGCTTGGCATCGGGCGCTCGCGTGTGCGCAGAACGCTTCTCGGAAAAGGTCCATTGTGTTTTCAGTTCTCGTTTCAAATATAAAAGTGGTTAGCGCGGACGGGAGCCCCGGATGTTTTGTGCAGCGGGACACTCGGGTAAGCTGACATTGATTAGAAACTCCGACTGACGCTATTCCTGTTATACGTAAGCTGTTACACACGATGGGCACGCAAATTGGCTCTGCTAGAAGCCGAAAGGTGGCGCAGCTTTCTTTTCTTACGCTTTCTATTGCGTTTTTAAACGCTTGCACTGCTGATAGATACCGTTACCGACTTATTAACTGAAACCAGAATAACCGGCGTGTCATTTGTTTAAGGTTTCGTACGTAGTGAAAAATAAGCCTATATTGTAATAGGTGTGTGTAATTTTCAGATATCTATGGGGATATCGGACGCTCTCTGAACACAAAGCGTATGTCCGCAAGTTACGCAAGTTTCAAGTTGTGAAGCTATAGTATTGCACATTAAAAAAAAAAAACAAAAAAAAACTCATCAAACACCTTTTCTTTAGGCCTGATTCTATACGGGCTCTTGCAGATGAATCAAGCCCGAGACACTTCGAAAAATTTTGAACAAGGACCATGCGGCAGATTCTCACAGTTTTATTCGCTGTTTGGAGCGCTGTCACAGCTCAATACATCAATGCCAGCGATACCGGTAAGAATAATTACTCAAAAAGTTAAAAACTGTATTTTTTGACTGATGTAATATCTTTAGACAAAAAAGTCAGGGGGGTCCTAGGCTGAAACACTAAGTGTGCTTTTCAGGCAATGGTAGTCAGTCAATGCCTACTGTTAATTCTATCGTATAGGTTCAATGTCAGCCGAAGTTACGAGTACCTGGTCAAAGCTTTGAAAACCCAGGCCCCAAGTGCAAGCTCGTATATTATAGCAGCTTCGACTATCAAGAACTGCTATATCGGATGTCTTACATGTAACGTGTTGTTTAAGCTTCGAGTTCAACGCTCTCGCACTTCGATTCACGCGTACGGCCTTCAGCGTCATGTGCATGCTCGACATAGTTGTACACACTAGAGTCACGTATAGACGAGGCTCCCCGTTGTTCGTACCCCTCTAGCGTTTGGAGTTGGCGGCGGCCTGTTGGCGTCCCTCAACAAAAGGCGTGGTCACCTAAATCGGTTATCTAATTGGGTATAACATTTGGCGACGAGGCTGCCTAACGAAACCCCAAAACAAAAGATGACGGAAGCCCTCGGGAGGATCCCGGAGTTCCAGCCGGACAGCGGAAACTTCGATGTGTTCTTCGCAGGTTTCGAGCTGCTGGCCTCTGCCAACATATTGCAGCAGACAACAAACTGCAAGTCTTCTTGACGGCGATTGGGAGAACGCGGACGCCAACCTTGCTGCCAAAGACGACCTCACAGGTACCGTCCCACGAAGCCGTTGGTGCACTGAAGAAACACTACGTACCCAAACGCTCGTCGGTTACCGAACGGTACCGCTTTAATCAACTAAAACAAGAGTCCTACGAGACCGTGGCGGACTTCCTGGTCGAACTCAAGAAACTGGCAGTGACGTGTGTTTGGTGCTTTCCTTTAGGAAGCTCAACGCGACTGACCTATTGCTGGTCTGCATGCCGATATCATACGCTGTCGCCTTCTGGCGATGGCAGACGCGGAAGTGACATGGGACCGCGCCTGCAGCATCACATCAGCCATGGACGCGATGGGAAAGTACAGGAAAGAAATGCTGACGCCGCATGCTGAGGGTCCTTCTGCAAGCTGCGGCGTCAAATGGCAGCGAGCTCCGGCACCGCTGCATCGAAAGGACGCTCAAGCACGCCACCCAAGTTTCAAAGAACACGACCAGAGAGCTGCAAAGGCAGATTTTCTCAGAAAAAGGAACCGTGTCACCGGTGTGGAGGACAATACTCCCCTGTGAGTCGTTCATTTCGTCATGGCCCCTGTTTTAAGTTAAGCAAAAAGGGGCAAGTTGACGAAATGTGTGAAACAAAAGTTGTTCACCACGTAGGCAAAATTGACAGCGACAGCAAGTTGCTCACGTTGCGTTACACGCGCCAGGATTCGGGCACGCCTGCCATTGTGATTCGAGTTCGGATAAATGGAAAGGAAGTTCCGATGGAACTCGATACAGGTGCCGCAGTGTCGGGAATGTCAGAAGCTGAGTGTGCGAAGCAATTTCCCAATTCCAACTTCCGAAGGGAAAATGTCAAACTCATGACTTACGACGGCACTCGTGTCTTAATGAAAGGAAATTGTGGACGTCGTAGTTAAGTACCACGACCAATGCCTTCGTTTGCGGCTGGTGATCGCCAAAGAAAAGAAAGGCGTAAGGAACCCTACGCTCTTTGGCCGGGACTGGCTGAGCAAGATAAAACAGATGGAACGAAGTCGTGCAAGTGAAGGCAGTGAATGTCGAAACGCCGCTCACCGAAAAGCATCTCGATGTTTCTACGCCCGGATACGGAACGATCAAAGGATTTAAAGCAAGCATTGTCCTGAAAGAGAACTCAAGCCCGGTGTACTGTAAAGCGCGACTAGCGCCATACGCTCTGCGTGAACATGTGGAGCAGGAACTGGCAATTCTATAGAAAAAGCTGCGTGTCGTGTACCAGGTAATGCACAGTGAATGGGTTGCGCCACTCGTGATCGTGCCAAGAAAGAACAGCAAGGAGCTTTGGATCTCTGGCGGTTACCGGGACACCTTGGACCCCGCCACAAAAGTTGACCACTATTCACTGCCATTACCAGACGATACCTTCTCAACCTTGCGAGGCGGGACAGTTCTTTTCGCTGCTGGATCTGTCAAAGGCGTATCTGCAACTCGAAGTGGATAACTGGATGAGCGAGCATAGGAATTGCTCACCGTCAACACGCACTCGTGCCTATTTAGGTTCTAGCGCTAGCCGTATGGCGTAGCACGCGCGCCTGCTCTCTTTCAAGCCGTAATCAATTAGATCCTACATGCACGGTATGCCGGGAATTGCCTGCTACTTAGATGACGTAGTCATTGCGGGTGAGGAGTACAAGCTGTGTCATGACAGAGTGGAGCAGGTGCTCATGCGCCTAAGTAATCACGACATTAGGGTCCATGCTGAAAAATACAAACTGCTTCAGCAGAGTTAACGATATTTGGGGCACGAAATTCTCCAATATGGTTTGCAAATGGCAGCTATTAAAAATGAGCCAAAACCGACCAATGTGACCGAGCTGAAAGACTTTTTTGGTCTTGGTAAAGTTTTTAGCAGAAATCTTGCCTGGTCTAGCTACTGTGCTAGAGCCGATACATGACCTGCTGCGCAGAAAATCCAAATATCTCTGGTCACGTGAGTGTGACGAAGCGTCCAAGAACTACAAAAGGTTGCTGACAGATCAAAGTGTTTCATACTGTACGACGTCACGAAAGAGATACAGCTTACGTGTGACGCGTTCGAATATGAACTTGCGGCAGTGTTGGTTGGCCCACAGTGTGAACGGAGAGAAAAGACCCATTGCGTTCGCGCCTTGATCGCTGTCTGCGTCCGAGCGTATTTACGGTCAGATAGAAAAAGAAACCCTGAGATCTTTTTTCGTCATCATAATGTTCCCCAAGTACCTCTACGGTCGAACTTTTAACGTACTCATTGGCCAACTACTTATGATTCTGTTTGATCCAAAGAGACAGGGTAGTGCTGCTGCCACAGCTAGGGTAAATCGATGGCTTATATTTCTAGCCAATTATTGCTACAATAAGAAGCACAAGCCAGGAGCAGCTATTGGCCACGCTGATCCGTTTTCTCGCCTTCCACTGGCAAACACAGAGGAACAGTCGAAAGACATTTTTCCCCAGTCATTGATCTTCCGATCCCAGCTAAAAACATTGAGTATGAAACAGCCCGCGAAGACCAGTTCAGAATTATTAGAAACATGATCTGGCATGGCTGGCAGAAAAAGGATTAGGAGGAACTGCTGTCATTCTGGACACGTCGTTTTGAGTTCTCTGTTGATGATGGCTGTATTGTCTGGACAAACATAATTGTGATTTCCAAACATCTGCAAGATGTTGCTTTGGGCTTATTGCGTGAGCAGCACCCAGGCATAACGAAATGAAAGCATTTGCACGGTCCATGGTCTAATGGCCGCGTATGACGAAATACTGGAACAAACTGTAAGAAAGTGTCTTTTGGTCATTAAGTCATTAGCTGGGGTTTTCTGCGATGTTTTTCTTACATATCTCTGCATTACTATCATATCGCTTTAATTAAAAAATCCCTCCATTCCAATCAGCCCCGTTTTTGTTCTGTTTCATATCTTAATTTCATTATAAAGACAATACACACCCAGTTTTACATCGCCCGGGATTCATCTTTTTTTTCTTGACGCAGGGGCAGAAGGCGTGGGGAGTTACTTTTTGTCGTGTTCCCGTCTGTTGGCCTAAAGTCGCGGTCGCACTGCACACGCATCATACAAAAGGCACGGAGTTCTCCGTGAACATGGTGACAGATATTATCTGCGGACACGCCTGAGGCATGTTCGCAGCGTGTTTGCTTCACATCTATATGATTCTAGCATGTCTGCAGACAGTTTTCGTATGCCCAATGTAACAGGACCGCCATACAAGGGACAAACACGCCTCGGACAGTGACAGCAGACTATTTTGATGTATTAGCTGTGTGACGCTGCTTTAGTAATTTTCTCTAGGAGACTTTCTGGTGAGAGATTTGCACCCGTTTTCTTCATCGATCTTAACCTTTTCTTTCTTCTGCAGTTTCTACCTCTAATGTCCGGAAGACACTCTACAACACTTTCGTCAATACGGTCTTCGACAAGGTCCTTTTATTTGTCGCCAAGTCTAAGGCCATCGACCCGGTGACCTTGCCGAACATCAGATACGCCTTCGAGACCAAGATCATCGTGAAGATCTCCGCAAAGGCCAGTCTCTACCGCGGCATCCTGGAGGGCTTGTCGAGCCTGACCAGAACGGGCAACTGCCGTTTCGAGGTCGGGGAACTCGGCATCAACATCAAGGCGGACGTGGGCGCGGGGCCCCTCAACTCCAGCTTCGTGCGACTCGCACGCGCCATGGGCTACGGCCAGGCGTTCACGGTGGACGCCAACATTCGATACCTTCGGATACGCCTCGGATTTGTTGAGTGGGTCGACAGCTTCTACGACTTGATATTTCAGTATGAGAAAAGCTCGTACCTGGCACCCTATAACACTCTAGCAAACTTGGGGCGTCCACTTTCCAATAAAGCACTTAGAAAAGCTAGTCGCAATGATCTATTAAGAGAGCTTGGCGAATAACAAGGTTGAACATATGACTAGATCATAAAACACAGTCGGCCCTGTAGCACGGAGCAAGATGTTTCACTTTTGTCAGTGCCGCAGCGCAGATTGTTTATATACGTGCAATCATTTTTTCTTACCTAGTGATTCGAAAGCGAAATAGAAAGGCTGCCACACTGCTGGAACAAGTGTATTCCTCTCTAGGGGGACGCAAAAATTGACGTAGTATATATAAATGGAATAACATAAAATATTACGCTTACCAGCAGGCTCTCCTTCCAAGGATAGACGGGGTTGTTATCTACCAGAAAAAAAAAAGAAAAAAAAAGGAATTGTCGAAATTTATAGGGCACGCCCTTCGTGTGTTCATGTTCCTTGCTTCATTGTTCGTTCTACGCCATCCTTATCGAATAATTCTCATAATGATAATATTAACGATAGCGATTGTAATAATGAGAGACTTGCAACTCGCCACAGACTGCGTTTCTCAAGCTGTCAGTGAACGAGTATGCTCTGATTTCACTTTGATTAATGATGAACAGAAGTGTAGTAATGTATTTTTCGTTTCGTTTTATTTTTCATTACTTTTATATCGAGGACTCCCGAAAGCCAGTTGGAACTCAGCGAGTTCAAGGTCCAGCAACTGAGGGGAGTGACCGTTGCCGTCCACGGCTTGGGGCTCTTGAACAGAGTCTTCAACAAGGTGTCGACCGAGTTCACCAACCTGTCTGAAGTGCAGATCAGGAACGCCATTGAGAGGAACATTCGTGACGCCCTGGCCGAACAGATCGGAAACCTCAACGAAGTTTCCTTCTTTTAGATCGCCACTTGTCATGCTACCGTGGCCTTTGGAACAACTGCAATTGTATAAAGGCACCTATGTTGGTGCGTGCGCGTCAGTGACGACTGCCGCTTGGGGAGGGTCGAATGTACACTAAGGGTGACAACATGCGCAGGCTTTGTCTCCTAGGTAGTATTGACTATACGTAAGGCGCGCATTGTCTGGTGTTCGTGAATAAGAAAAGTCGGTGACGTTGTTGCGTCTTTGTTTAGTTTTTAAAACCAGGTGGATTTTTGGATTGGACGACTCGTGGCGAGGCTCAAGACGGTGACTATCGGTGAAAACAATGAGGCTCTGTTCACCCTCAGTCAGATCCCATGAATGCTGCCACAGCTAAGGTAATTGAGGCTTATTACTTTGAAGCAGCTCGCTGGGCACATTAAAGGCTAAATGCTTTTTTCTCCTTTTAATGCAGCTTTGGTTTTAGTTTTAGAGTCGACGGAAAGACGCGCAGCTTCATCTTGTTTCTGAGTTTATTTCTGGTAATCGAAACGTGAACAAAGACGCACAGAGCCAGCGTTTTACTGTGGAAGAGGCATAATTTTCAGAGCACTTTCTGAGGCTGCGAGGAGGACGGAACCCGTCAGCCCACCCTATCAAAAAAAAAAAAAAAAAACGTTTAGCAGTTAACCCTAAACAGGGAGACATCAAGCCAAACCTGCATCCCAGGAAGCCCTTCAAAGCGAGGTAGATAACATTGAACGCATCCCCGTTCCCCAGGTGAAGAGACGCATTCTCCAAGGTCAGTGGCCCTGGGCCAGACTGATGTTGGCAGTGTCTTCCAAGAACCAAAGCGACCTCTGAGATACTGGAAGGATGCAGGATCCACGAGGGAAACACGTTAGAGAAACCTATACGAGGGAATAGTTTTCAAAGAAAATAGCCGTCCCTAGAACGGAAACATTAAACGGCCTGTTTTTCGGTTTTAATCAGGGCGAAAACAAATCAAGCACCGCCGTTTTTTTTTTGTTTTTTTAAATATATTTTGTATATTTGTCACCAGCGGATGTTTATAAATATGTTTCGGTTAAACCCGAAAAGTGCACAGCCTAAGTACCGGCCATTACAATAATCTCTTTCTGCGCTCTGCCATCTTTGAACAGGTTTTGAGCATGAGCAGTAGCTGCCTTTTGCCGAATATTATACGACGCGCATACGCCTTTGAATTCAATGATTCAGAACTTTTTTTTCACTGGAGAATAATCGCTCAAAAGGTGTATATCCGTAACAATGCTTTAGTGTTCTTTTCTCCGCGTGCGTTTCATCCTATAGAAAGATTTACCAAGTAAACCTAAATTCGGTGAGCAAATCACAATATACCAAAGGACTGTAGTCACCTTCAAAGACGACTAAATATAGTCGAGCAAATATTTCTACAGCGACGGTCGGCCAATTTTATATAACTCGTTTTATATATGGCCTCGCTTATTATTGCTTACAAGGGACGGGATTTTATATAGCCCCCCCCCCCCCCCCCCCCCCCCTCCGGAATCTCTCATAACAAGATTGAAAAATGCTCGTCGCGTCAAGCTGGAATGTCGGGGATCCTGTTCGCATTAATTCGACGAGAGGACAAAGTCTGCCGCCCTTTGGAACCGAGCTGGCCGAGTCAATACCACCTCAAGGCAAGGCGTCAGCATGACGTCATCGCTGTGGATCCCCGGCCTGCCCCCAAGCGGCCAACACGTTGAAGTTCGACGAGCGGCTCCGCAAAGCGGCAGGCGCTTCCGTCTTCGCGTCGGCGCCTGCTGCTAGAGTCGCGCTCGTTTTAAGAAACACAGCAAGGATGCCGATGCGCAGGCGGTGTTGCTGCTGCAAGCTATACATCGCAGTGTGAATCAACAAACTAGGTGCCGCAAGCCGCCGCCCAATTCAAAATGTTCAGCCTCATCTATCTATCCATCCATCCTGTGATGCCGTTAAAAGAGGGGGGGGGGGGGGGGGGGGGGAGGATGGGGACGCAGGCCTTGATTTCTACAGGGCGTCTCAAATAGCGAACATGTTCTTTGTATCGTCCGTAAAAATCGGTTTCTTAACCTATCACGCTACAATTTTGTGCAGCGTTGGCCACAGGTGGTGCATTTTTTCTATAAAAAATTTCTAAGAGCGAACTCACCTGAGGAAAAAAGTAGAACAAAACGAAACATACTTAACCCTTTAGGAAACGCAGCGAAGTCACCGGTCTTCAAACAATGGGGCGCCGTATGGCACGGCAGAGAAGGGATGGCGCAAGCAGTCGCGACGCCAACTGCTCTGCATCCAGCTTTTTCAGCGAAGCCATGGAAGTACTATTTGCCTCGAAGACAGAAGAAAACTTCGTCATTGCAGCCATTGCTTGATATTCGAGTTTTAGTAGATCTTTCCGATACCTCTGAGACCCCCGATAACGACATGATGCATGCGCAAAGGCGGCGGCAGTGTATCGGATATCGTTATCGGAGTCATCGGTACGATCTACTAAAATTTTCTGTTGTCGAAATCGCGAAGCTGTAGAAAACGACATACAACTACCCAATACTAAAATAAGATTTGATTTCTGTACATCTTATCTTTACCGGCATATATCCGGACAATAGCGAAACATATTTGGTATCAGTAAGGTGTTTTGGATCTATATTCTTCCTTTGGTTCTGAACAGGTCGAGATTCGGTTGAAACATTGGTGGATGAGAAAACGTTTTCAATAAATATATATAACACCTGGACGCTCATAGTGACAATTAATTACAACGTCGGTTAACACAAGGAAATGTAAACGTACGTTTTCCGTGTGTGCCTTTCTTGGTGCCGTTCAAAAACGCACGGAGCAGGGACCGATGGCAGTTTGCTCTGGAGTTCTCCAGATAGACGTCCGCTGATGCCACGGGCAGCGAAGGGCAGAAAACTAAGCCGCACTATGGCTCCACTCATAAGTTTTACTCTCTCCTCAAGCCCAGATTATCAAGTCTGTGTCAGCCACAATTGTTTTGATTATAATGCAATTAAATGCAAAGGTGCAAGCGAGCTCGACAAGAATGGCGAAAATAATCCTAGCTGTGTTTGGAGATTTATGTTTGTCCTTTGTCCTCCTTGTTCCCCTTCTCCAGGGATTATTTTCGTCACCATTGTTTTATTTGTAAAAAATCTTTGCTTTACTCAGAAGCTGAAATAGAAACAGCAAAAAAAAAAAAAAAAAGAGGAAGACAATTACTATTCTTGAAGTGCTCGCCAAAAGCTGACTCACAAAAGGGGTCACTGAGATGCAGATAACCTGGCTGAAATTGGGTCAACCCTAGAACCTGGACCACAAAAAGTAAGTAGCTTTTAAAACAAGGTCAAATAAGGTGAAAGAAGCAGAAAAAAATACATCCTGTTTTCTAAGAGAAGATGATAATGGTGCAGCAACGAACGAGGATACTTGTGGCAATAACACCTCTACATATTATCACATTTCTTTCAGTAGATCTTAGGGTAGACGGAGCGTTGTCTCGTGTTGTTACATTATGAAAATGGTTGTAGTCACAATAACCGAGAAGGACATTCAGAGATAATATAGTTAGGGCGCAGGCGAGCTGGTTAATGTTAGCCATGTTGAATAAACCTGAGACTGGGGCAGAATGAACACACAAGTCAAATGAATAGAAAAAGACAGGACGACGTCTCAAACTCAGCACCCAAGTACACACAATCAGCCACCGCCAATACAAAGGGGCAACCTCTAACCCTCTTCTCCGCGCACTTTCCGCCTCGAGCTTCTCGAAGAGGCACACAATCGCTTCGTGTCTTCCTCTTCCCGTATTCGATTGCAAAGAAAAATAAAGATGCTAAAAAATCGAATATAACTTGCCCTCCCCCCCCCCCCTTTTTTTTTTTTTTTTGTAGAAATACCCGTTTGTGTTTTCTGACCTTGTTGGTAGGGTCTAAAAAAACATTCAGGGGCTTGGTGTTGTAAAAAAAAAAAAAAAACGCTTTGAGGAACTGAAGGGTGCCCAGTCACTCTTTGCGCAGGCCGATGCGCGTGACAGTGTCACTGCGCTCGACTTTACGAAAATAAAAACAACCCTTTCTCTAGAAGGGGAGGGGGGGGGGGGGGGGTTGGTCCCGAGAAAATATGTAACGGATTACAAGGAGTTGTATCGTCTGTTTGCGTCCAGAATTTGTGTTTATTCTTTCCGGTTGCTTAAAGGGACACTGACACCCCCCCAAAATTTTTTTTTAATTTTTTTGCCAGGCGCTTCATTATGGTGTCGGAGGACTACCCAATTAATATTTTGCAACAGAGTAGCGTATTTTTTTAATAAAACCAAAAGACGCAACTGCTCGAAACCGAAACCGAAACCCGACGGAGGTCGGAGAAGTGGAGAGAAGAGAGTGAGTGGCGGAAGTCACGTGGCTACACCCGACCGTGTGTTTTTTTTTTTGCTTTTTTTTCTCCTTCCCGGTAGCAGACGACATGCGGCGTATGGGAACTGCTCGCCGTGGGATTCTTTTGCAGTTATGCATGTTCCGCTCGTTGTTCTCTACTCCAAGATGAGTTGTTTTGTACATTGAGGAGTTGGAGATGAGTAGTGAGTGCCCGTGGTGAATTTTGATCGGCTCCGAAAAGAATACACCCAAGATGTTGCGTGAAGAGCTGGCTCACACGTCCCGCGTCCGAAGCAGAAGTGGCATTGTGCGACAGAGTTTCCGAAAGATCAACGGGATCGGGACCAATGGCTGGCTGCAATTCCTGTAGACCATTTACGGGCACCTCGGAAAGCGGACGCTACCTGATTCATATGCTCCTTGCATTTTGTGGAAAGTGATTACATTGAGTTCGCAGGTGTCAAAAAGGGTATCCCATACCATCTAATTCAGCGACGTGTCGTCTACAACATTTGTTTCTTATTTTTTTTTGTTGTTTCTTCAGTAATAATTGTAAAAAAAGAAAAGAAATGTAGACATCAAAAAATATTTAGAAAAAAAAAAAAAAAGTTTCACGGGGGATCGAACCCGGCTCTACCGGGTGCGAAGGGGACGTCTTTCCCACTGAGC